TAAAGTGTCATTCACTAATTCCACGTTGTTTACCAGGCGTTAAACCCCATTTTATTTACCCGGTGTTACCCGCATGGAGCTCAGTGACGGTTCTTTTTCGAAGGATTGTGAAACAGAAAGTAGTAGTAGTGTAATTCAGAGACGGAAAGCGGTAGTGCAACGCCACCCGGTCTATAGTCACTCCCCCTGCTCGAGCCAATGATTCATACGCCTGGATGATCAAGAATGATCAAAGCACGCAGGTCATATGTCCAGACAGTAGCAGTTAGAGGGAGCGAGAAGCACTTTTTTCCGTCCGACCCCAAGTCGTCTGACACAAGTATTTGTTCCACAAAAACACTGTTTTCTCTCGGGAAAAATGAGAATGTCTGAGCAATCGTTATTCACCAATATCTAAAATCTAAAATAGAAAAGCAATTATTATGTAAATTCACATTTCCAGGAATTTTTATTTATGGTTTCTTAATTCATTATTATAAAACTGTATAATTGGAAAATGTCTTTCTTATTTATTCTGTATCCATCCTTAAAGGTGGAGATTAGATTAAGAGCTGGCAGTTCTCACTATAATAGTTAAAAACTAGATAATGTAAAGGGGATTTGCTGAAAATTTCAGTCAAATTTATCCACACTGAACCGAGAATCAAGCAATTGAATTTTGGAACTAGCCTCGATCATCATTACTAAAGTTGGTACGATACAATAACTTAGTCTCGATTATCCATTTCTTGATTTAATCATGCATGAGCATTGAGCAGGAGATCAGGTCCTAATCCAGTAAATATCGCAGGACCGTGCATGACCGTCTCCGATCTAGCGTTAGTCATCGGTTTTGCTCTCAGTAAATGTTTCCCCCGGGGGGCGGGAAGTGTTCTCGGAGGTGCTGTAATGTATACCTATTTTTTTATGGTCGAAAATTTTTTCACAGGGGGGGGGGGCGAAACTTTTTGCCCCCGCCCCCTAGTTACGGGCCTGCTAGACAGTTGTCAAGCCCTCTATCCTGCACCGCTGACAAGAGGAAACGACGCCGGAAACATTCTTGGCCAACGCAAGGATCAAACACGGGACCTTCAGGTTAGCGCGCCCAACATTTTATTTCGCAACCGTGGCCCCGACTCTCTTACGTAGAGCGTATACCCAATACACGACGCACTCACGCGTTCAGCCTTAATATCTATATCACATCTTGCACTCCTGGCGGAAATAAAATTAAAAAAATATATGCAAACGATACAGAAGCCACAAACACATTAAAATGCTATTTAGTTAATTTATCGAAATATGTATCTAAATAGGGGCGGACCCAGTCTCACTGCTCAGCTACATAAAAAATTGTAAAAAAACACTTTGTATAAGAAAAGTGTCACAGTCGTGTGCTTTGTCCTCTATCATCAGATAGTGGGATGAATTGGGCATATCACAATTTTAATACTTTGCATCAATGAAATTGAATCACAATGTTATCCGATTAATTCATAATACAAATTGACATCAAACTGGGTGTTGGTTTTCTCTCTTTAGAAAGCTCAGTGTGTATGTATACCCACGTAATTTGGAGACGATGATGGCATCGTGCATTGTCAACAACTATCAAATTTCCTTAACAGGAACCTGGCAAACCCCCATCGATTCCATGCACTGACGTCACACAAAATCGGTCCAAAGTGAATAGACCATTGAAACAAGGGTCAAAGATATTTTTAGTGTTTTTCTCCCTTTCCGTTTTCCCCCTTTTGCATGGCGATTTTCGTTGACCTTTGGTTGTAGAATCGAAGAAAAGGGTTTAATATGCATTTTCTGGCAGGTATTGGTGAATATTCATGCTTTTGAGGCGGAAGGATACGAGACTCCAGAGGTTGGTTAGCGCATGGAGTCGATGACAAACCTTAACGAACGAAAATAATGTAAATATTGGAAACATGTGGCTATATCGATTTTGGGGGATTATATATGCAAATCAAAACAACTAGATTGAAGAAAAAACATATCTGGGTGAATCGACAGAGGTTTGATTGCTTGACATTAAGAATTGTTGAAAAAAAAAAAACCGAGCCGAAGCGAGAGCAGGTAAAATCGAAGCCTCAACAGACATTGCATTCCTGGGGTCTGTGTCACGAAATTTTAACTAAGATAAAATCCAAATTTTAGTAATTTGATTGGACAATATTAGGTTGCATTTAGTGCTTAGCCAATCAAAATTGAACTATCTACTAAAATTTGGATTTCGAGAAACAGGGCCCTTTTCCTTTCTTATTATATGTTATATTGTCTTGTTCAGGTTTCCTTCCACTGCTAAAGACCCCTACACGCAAGCGAATTATTGAAATAAAATTAAAATCATTAGTCCCGAAATGACCTAGTCTGTGTCGAGTGGACGTTAAACCCCATCTCTCTCTCTCTCTCTCTCTACTAGAAGAGTAAGTGCACCCATGAGATTTGAGCAACCTTGAACATTAACATTATTAATAGTGATCTGAACCACAATCACGTGTTAATTATGTAAACCCGATAGGGGCGTGGTGACCCATGATTTTCCATGCAGAACAAGATCATGTCCTTGCCCCCAAAAAACAATATTTATATATGTGTGTGGGGGGGGGGGGCCCTCCAAGTGCCGCCGAGTAATGTTGGGCTGTCTAGAACATGCTAGAGTCGCTTTGTAGCATATCTGACCTACGGTATATGTTTGACACTGGTAAAGACATGCAAAACGAAATTTTGAACTATACAAAACGAAACGAAATAGGATCCGCGTTTTAAGCAGAGTGACATTGAAGTCAAGGGGATCACGTGGCTAAGTGGGTAAGACGCTAGCTCGCTAGCCTGGAGGTCGGGTGTTCGATCCCTGCATTGGCCGAGAAAGTTCATCCAGATTTTCCGGCGTGGTTCTCCCTTGTCAGTGATGCAGGACGGAGGGGCTGACAAGGAAAGCTGTCTAGTCGTTCGGATGGGACGAAAAACCGAGGTCCCGTGTACACATTGGCGTGCACGTAAAAGATCCCTTGGCAGTTGGAATTCGATATAAGAGTAGGCCGTAGTGCCGCTGTCCGGGCAAAATTTCCCTCATAGCACACTGTATGGCGTATGCCCGTCTTCATTAGCCCAGGTTAGGAGCAGAACAGTAGGACGTTAAACCCCATTTCATTTCATTTCATTGAAGTCAATGCAGTGAGAACTACTGGTCTGAGACCATTCATTTTCTACCAATGTTTTGATGTATTTGAAAGCTTTGTTTAGTTGTTGTTGTCGTCGATGCTAAAGATGGTGGACGATAATAATCCACGTTCACTGGTTCACAGACACACGCTTTGTGCATTGCTAATTGTTTGACGTCATCCGCTCCATTTTTATACGTTTTTAAGTAACACCCAGATCCCTATCTGACTTCAAACATTTTAAAGGACAATCCAGCCCCTTTTATGGATAATTCGCATTGCTTCATGACAACTCTGTTTGAAAACGATTTAAAATGAAAGGTAGAGGGGCAGGACGGAGGATGAGATGGGTGTATGCCGTGGGGCGACACTTCTTGGGGAAAGGCAAATTATCTACGTTCATACCAGACATTCTCCATGGATATTTATGGACTAGCCTCATGGAGGCTGAGATAGCATATCACTGGCCTTCGCTTCCCCTATACCCGAGTAACCCAGTTCATATTTCAGCAAATAGAGAGGGTAGAATTAGGATTTTTCCAAGATATAGGTCATTTCGGGACTAACATATGGTTCAATTTTATTTCACTAATTCGCTTGGGCGTAGGGGTCTTTAGCAGTGGGAGGAAACCGCAGAGCCCGGAGAAAACCCACGAAGTTGGACAGGCGACCCTACTCCTTGTCACGTACAACCGGGGAATCGAAACCACGCCAGTTGACGCAATGACAGACCTTATGATACAGCGCGCATGTGTAAACCATTCGGCCATCCACCCCGGTTGCTACGAAATGAAATGAAATAGGGTTTAACGTCCTACTGTTCTGCTCCGACTGGGCTAATGAAGACGGACATACGTCATACAGTGCTATGAGGGGCAGTTTGTCAGGACAGCGGCACTAAAGCATATTCTTATATCGAATTCCAACTGCCAAGGGATCTTTTATGTGCAGGCCAATGTGTACATGGGACCTCGGTTTTTCGTCCCATCCGAACGTCTAGACAGCTGTTCTTGTCAGGCCCTCCGCCCTGTTCTTGGTTAATAAAATATAGCAATTAATTAAATGTGCTAAGTATAATTATGAAAACACAGTATATACTTACATGTTTAAAGTACTTATTGACATCCATTTGGAATGGGTGGATGCCATTTATATGTGCGTGAAATAGCTTAAACATACATTATGAAAGAGCTAAATCTGTCTATTGCAGGTCTTTCTTTAGGCCTGAAATGTTATCTAAATTATTAATTAGACATTAATTAACTTATCCAGATCATAATCAACTTTAGATGGCATCGCTAGCCTGCGATCTTAAGTGGATTGTGATCCGATTTACTTCATAACTTTCCATCTCGATTAAACGATTAAATGGAAAATCGAGACTATGCTGTTTAATGTACAGACTTTAGTAATGATGACCGAGGCTAGGCAGAAGTTTCATTCGCTTAGTTCTCGGTTCATAGTGGATCAATTTGAATGAAATTTTCAGCAAATTGCCTTTACGTTATCTAGTTTTTAATTATTATAGTGAAAACTGCCAACTCGTTATCGGATCTCCCATAATGTATCTTTAATGCAACGTCCGCTTCCACCGAAGTGATATCGCAGACAATGCCAATTATAACAAAAAAGAGTTCTGATTTTTATTTTATTTTTAAGTTGATTCCCTGTCATTTTGTAACATCAGGGAATCCGATTAAAAAAAAGATAATTTAATTTAAATACGTCAGTCAGTCAGTCAATATTGACTACACTGTGATACCACTCCCCTGAAATCGATGAACCGAAGGTAAACGAAGTGTATATAAACTCACGTTCTGTTTAAAACGAGCAGTCGGGTGAAGCTAGGCGGAGATCACCATCAGGCTGATAATACAACTACGACAATGAAGTTTTTGATTCTTATTGCTGCGTGCTGTTTTGCAGTTTGCCATGCCTCAGTGGAACTTGAGAACAAAGCGGAAGGTAATTTGTGTTTATTCTTTTAATCAATTGTTTTAGGTGTGCGACATGGTTCTATTTTATTTCAATAATTCGCTTGCGCGTAGGGGTCTTTGGCAGTTAAAGAAAACCTGCGAAACCGGAAGAAACCTACAAGGTTGGACAAAACAAGCCTACTCCTTGTGTACTTACAACCGGGGAATCGAAACCACGCCAGTTGAATCAATGACAGACCGTATGATGGATGCAACGCGCACGCGCTAACCATTCGGCCGTCCATCCCCGGCGGCGGTGGGGGTACACTTGAGATGTTTTCTTCATCTTCTTATTTTAGTTTTTGGTTAGGTGGCCGAATGGTTGACGCGTGCACGTTGGATCAGAACGTCGGCCACCGAGTCAAGTGGCGTGGTTTCAATTTTCTCGCTTGTACGTGACAAGGAGTAGAGTCGTCTTTCCAACCTCATGGGTTTTATGTGGGTCCCTCGGTTTTCTCCAACTGTTAAAGTTCCCTACACGCTAACGAATAAACGAAATAAAATTGAGCGATATTTTAATCCCGAATTGACTTAGGTTGACTTAGGTTGACTTGCTGTTCTGCTCCTAAACTGGGCTAATGAAGATGGACATACGCCATACAGTGTGCTATGCCGGACATTTTACCTGGACAGCGGCACTACGGCCTACTCTTATATCGAATTCCAACTGCCAAGGGATCTTTTACGTGCACGCCAATGTGTACACGGGACCTCGGTTTTTCGTCCCATCCGAACGTATAGACAGCTTATCTTGTCAGGCCCTCCGCCATGCATCACTGACAAGGGGAAACCACGCTGGAAAATCTGGATGAACTTTCTCGGCCAATGCAGGGATCGAACACCCGACCTCCATTTCTTAAGAGGGGTGGGGTGGATGGCCGAATGGTTAGCACGTGCGCGCTGTATCATAAGGCCTGTTATTAAGTGAACTGGCGTGGTTTCGAAATCCCCGGTTGTACGTGACAAGGAGTAGGGTCGCCTGTCCAACCTCGGGGGTTTTCTCCGGGTCCTCCGGTTTCCCCTCACTGCTAAAGACCCCTACGCACAAGCGAATTATTGAAATAAAATTAAACCATATGTTAGTCCCGAAATGACCTAGTCTGTGTCGAGTGGACGTTAAACCCCATCTCTCTCTCTCTCTCAAATTATTATCTGGCTATATGTTGAAAATTTCAGACAAATTGCTTAATTATTTTTACGCTACATTAGCTATCACAAAATGTATTCAAATCCAGTAAACATCGCAGGCTAATGATGCCATCGAGAGTTGATCATGGTCTGGATAAGTTAATTAATGTCTAATTAATAGTTTAGATAACATTTCAGGGCTAAAGAAAGACCTGCAATAGGCAGATTTAGCTCTTTCATAATGCAACTATTCAGTATACTTAAACATACATTATGCAAAAGCTAAATCTGTCAATTTCAGGTCTTTCTTTAGGCCTGAAATGTTATCTAAATTATTAATTAGGCATTAATTAACTTATCCAAACCATAATCAATTCTCGATGTTATCGCTAGCCTGTGATATTTACTGGATTAGCATCCGAGTTGTTGCTCCACTATTGTTCATGATTTAATGGATAATCGAGACTGTTTTTTATCGTACCAACTTTAGTAATGATGATCGAGGCCAGGAGAAAAATTCAATCGCTAAATTCTCGGTTCAGAGTGGATCAATTTGACTGAAATTTTCAGCAAATTCCCCCTACATTGTATAGTTTTTCACTATTATAGTGAGAACTGCCAGCTATTTATCTAATCTCCCATAATGTATCTTTAATTTGTACTCTTGTATATTAGAGTTTCATTACCAAGAAGTTATAAATAAACGGAGGGCCTGACAAGGACAGCTGTCAGGTCGTTCGGAAGGACCGAAAACCCGAAGTCCCGTTTACACATTGGCATGCACGTAAAATATCCATCTACAGTTGGAATTCGATATAAGAGTAGGCCTTTGTGTCGCTGCCTCATAGCACACTGTATTGCGTATGCCCGTCTTGGAGCAGAAAAATAGGACGTTAAACCCCATTTCATTGATAAATAAACGTTCGTGTGTAGTTCTGCTTCATAAATTTATTAAGAAAATCCAGGTCATATTACATTATACCCACGTTTCTTTGTAAAGATTTCTGAATGTGATCTAAATGATAAAAATACAAAAATAAAACGAAGCATAAATAATATGTAGGCATGGTTTGATGCGAACATTAAAGTGACATCTCGATTAAAATTTTTGTGTGAAAAACCCTTTAAATCCCCTACCTTAGGGCCGAGAAACTAACTGAATAATATGTAGGTAGGGTTTGATGTGAACATTAAATGGACACTCTCGATTATATTTTGCTTGAAAAGCCCCTAAACCCTCTACCTTAGGACCGAGAAACTAACTCAGCATATATACGTGATACGTTTTCAAACAAGTTAGGGGTCCAACTTACAACTCACAGTAGGCATTTTGCTAATGTATTTTCTGCCTAATACCATATTGCGTGTGCCAGAGTATTCTCTCTTTTAACATCTGCATGTTACAAATACCACAAATGAAATGATGAATTCCAAATATTCAATGGTTTGTGTATTAAGCGTGAATTGCCATTTAATCTCTTTATCACATAGTACGCAAAGTAGCAATTTTGTGAGAATTATTGAATCATTTTCAAATGTCACTAAAATGTTTTTGTATTATAATTTAGTTGTTTTTCAGTTGTCAAATATGAATGCAAATAAAAACTAAACCGCTGCCTTTTTATTCAGATATATCTGTACGTAAAAACACTTTGAATTATAACTGGGGTCCATATGGACCCCTTGATACCTGATATGTGATTCTCACAACGTGCACCGACACGGGTTAATCCCATCCGTCTTAATCTGGAAATGGAGACCGGTGTTCCAAGTTGGATAAAACGGTGTCTGGATAAAAATAACGTGTGGGTGAAATTTACCTTTCATTATCAAGTACAGCTTGATAATCTCTGTATAGATCTCTAAGGAACGGCAATAGATTAGCAGGTCACCCAATGAAAAAAATCTTAAAAGGGTTACGTGTCAGGGAAAGCGGTTTTGACGTTCACTTCCAAACGACTCAATATTTTGAGCTTAAATTTTTTTTTCGACAAGGTATATACACCATTCGTCTATAATTTGGCGCTTAAAGTAGCCTAAGTCTCTAACCCAATATCATCCAAAGTCTTCGACATTGAAAACACGAACTATTTGTCAATTTAAATCAACATTGATGTTGTGATCTTACCGGGAAAAGATGGGCTTCTGATATCCAATATTTAAGATAAAATAAATATTTTACCATTGGTACACGAATAGTGTACCATAATGCGTTTCAGCGGCTTGCAACAGGGACTCGAAGAACGATGCTAGACATATTCCACCCGTCATGTCAAACGATGACGCCATATTCTTATCTGGAGAGCATGCGCAATAAATACTATCGGTGTAGACTGGAAAAACCAGACGGTATAGATTGCCATTCGATTTAGACTTCTGACGTATTTCGCCAAACATCACTGATTAGAAATTATAGTAAAAGCAGAAACGATGGAATGTAAATCAGTTTATATACATTCATATTACATTATTATATGCGTTGCGACCCATTTGTGTCACTTTCTACGTCCCAAATATTAGCGATTTAGCTCCTTTTATTTCTGAGACTCTGTTAAAATCGGGATAGTCCCTTTAATGTACGCTATTTTGGACCTCTGTTGCATATAAGCTGGACTTTTTTTTTGATTAAATGCAATAGATAGCTAGACCAAAACACCCAACAAACCACACGCAAACTTTACGCATCACCGTGTTTTCATTTAGAGGTCCCGTGTACACTTTGGCGTGCACGTAAAAGATCCCTTAACAGTTGGAATTCGATATAACAGTACGCCGTAGTGCCGCTGTCCGGGCAAAATATCCCCCATAGCACACTGTATGGCGTATGCACGTCTTCATTAGCCCAGTTCGGAGCAAAACAGTAGGACGTTAAACCCCATTTCATTTCATTTCATTTTATTTCATATATTAAAGTGACACGTTTTATGAATTTCAGACGCCGTTAATGTAAACAGAGAAAAGAGGGAAGTCGGTTCATTATCCAGCAATGTCATAGTAAGTCTGATATTCTGTTAAAGAGAGAGAGAGAGGGGGGGGAGCGGTGTAAACTAGGTCATTTCGGGCCTAACATATGGTTCAATTTTATTTCAATAATTCGGTTGCGCGTATGGGCTTTTAGCAGCTGCGGGAAACCGGGGGACCCAGAGAAAACCCAAGAGATAGAAATCACGCCAGTTAAAGGAGATGGTCCACCAATTTATACATCTTAACAATAGATTGACTACGAGGAGAGATATGTTCAAATAGGAATGGAAACCGGGGGACCCAGAGAAAACCCAAGAGATAGAATAGGCGACGATACTCCTTGTCACGTACAAGCGGGGAGTCGAAATCACGCCAGTTAAAGGAGATGGCCCATCAATTTATACATCTTAACAATAGATTGACTATGAGGAGAGATATGTTCAAATAGGAATAGAAACTAAAACTACATTTAGATTAAAACACAGATCCTATTTCGTTTCGTTTTTTAGAGTTCAAAATTGGGTTTTACTTTCTTTACCACACTAGCATCTGGAAGAGTTGTTATGAGTGACGTGTTCTGGAAGAGTTGTTATATAACCCGCGTTCTGGTTGATGTAAGGGGTTAACCAGTGAAACAGTCTGTTACGGCGAGTTCTTGACGTGTGGTACACGAAACTGTGGGTGTCCCACTAGAAACATCAACGCTGATTGGTTAATCAAATGTCTCACGTCAGAGGGTCAAAAGCCGCTCGTATGAACCCTGACTCAACATTCCACTAAAACCGGTCAGATCATGAATATTTATTCGGCCGAATTATATTCGCCTGGTGTGTCCGCGTCGCCGAAGCATTCGGCCGAATATAGAATTCATTAGCCAATCACCACTCATATCGAGAAGTCACGTGATAGATTGAAGACCTAGACGCCGCCATGTTTAATCATGTGACGTGATAGGTGATGCAATCGACAGGTTGAATCGGGCGAAGCATTCGGCTTGTGTGTCCACCCATTCGGCCGAATAAAATTCGGCGCCGATTGGTTCGGCTAATGTGTCCACTGCTTTATCTAGTGACATTCAATTAATTTTTTGAATTATCAGGTATCCTCTCAGTCTCATATAACAACTTTTGGTCTTCGAAGGAATTATTAGTGAGCAGAAATTCGCCCGTGAATCTGTTATCACTCGTCACTTCAGTCAGTCATATAGAATTAAACGCTGGACCCTTTGTTCTGACTCGGGTGCTCAAGTTACTGATCAACCTGTGAGGTGTTGTTTTAGCATGTGCACAGGTGATCATTTAAGGAAAAGTAGGTGTTCATATAAATGAACACCCCCACATACTAACCCGGTGATTGTCAAAACAGACCATGCATTTTCGTTATTTTGTTAGAAATAACAAGAAACACCGTGTTAATTAAAAAATATAAATACATGTAGTTAAAACAATAAATAAATATCTTTTCACTATAGCTTGTGAAATAGTATCATTAGCTAGAAAACGCATCCAATAGTATAAAGAACAAATACACAAAACCTAGCAAACTGAGATAAATTTCTGTTTGGTCATGTTTTAGATAATTGTAATCTTGTAAAATACCTTTCCTACATCATCGCACATGCTATTCTTTTCGCACATGGTTAGTTTGTTCTGTGGCTGACAATTCGTGAATGTAAAACGTATTCCAGTCAATGCAGCATACCCCATTCGCACTAAATTGATATTACATTATTCATTGGTCTGTTGTGGATTTTAAAGATAGATTGTGGGGCAACGAAACATACGCCCACAGTAGCTAAGTCGTCTGGGCAGTCAATAAGGGGCGTAGCATATTTATTTCTTTTGTCGCTTAGGAGAGAAAAATTGGGTTTAACGTCCACTCGACACAAACTAGGTCATTTCGGGACTAACATGGTTCAATTTTAGTTCAAAAATTCGCTTGCGCGTAGGGGTCTTTAGCAGTGGGAGAAAACCGGAGGACCCGGAGAAAACCCACGAGGTTAGACAGGCTACCCTACTCCTTGTCACGTACAACCGGGCCATCGAACCCCCCTTGTCAGTAAGGAAAACATTTACAACACACTAAAATATAATTATGAATAACAAACCCATTAAGTAATTGTCATACTTCTTTGGCTTCTAATTCTGCCCTATACTGACGTTGAGTACTAAAAACATTAAATATCAAGGGCCATAAATCTGGAAGTTATTATTGGAAATCATTGAAAGTCAATAGGATTCTTCGTCTCATGACCATAATTGTTCAGCCTCCAGATCGTGGACATCGGACGGGAGCGACGACAATATATGACATGTTGGCGTATAAACAGTGCCGAAAACCGGAAATCAGCAAATAGGCTTAAAATACATTTATCCATATACTAATCCACATTTCTTAAAATTGTATTTCAAAAACCTGACATTGATATGATCTGATTTGTATGCATCGTAAATAAACAGGTATACACATATTCAGGTTATTGACCCACTCCCCAATCTGCTGAGTAAACAACAATATATTATGACGTGCAAAATAATGTATTGATACCTGTTATAGACGAATCGGTAAAATTATTTTGTGTGATAAACTCATTCAACTTCTTACACAAAGAATCCAGTGTGTAAGTCAGTTATCGACCTTCGACCCTCGGGGTCAAGTTAGATGAACATCCGAGCTCGCGCAATTGAACACTTCGAACGATCTCGCGTTCTCAGTGTACAACCTAGCACGTGCTCGGGTGTTCATCTAACTTGAACCCCTCTGTCTCAGTCGATAACCCTTACGGATAACTCATGTTTTCCCTTTGCGTCCGTCATTTCCCTTTCTTGATATGTGATAATGACTGACACCAATATTGTCCTTTAAACATGCATTATGCAAGAGCTAAATCTGCCTATCGCAGGTCTTTCTTTAGGCCCGAAATGTTATCTAAATTATTAATTAGACCATAATCAACTCTCGATGTCAAGGCTAGCCTTCGATATCGACTGGATTAGAATCTTATATGCTGCAAACGCTCATTGATAATTAAATCAAAACAATGGATAATCGAGACTATGCTTTTTAACGTACTAACTTTAGTAATGATGAACGAGGCTAGGCGGAAATTTACAAAGCTGATTTCTCGGTTCATAGTGGACCAATTTGACTGAAATTGTCAACAAATTACCTTTACATTATCTAGTTTTTAACTATTATAGCGAGAACTGTCAGCTCTTTATCTAATCTCCCATAATGTATCTTTAACTCGTTAATCGAATAAAACACATTAGATCATTTATTTGAAGTGGCACATTTTCTTATTAACCAATGCTACGCCATTAATGGTATTGTTGTTTATATTATTGTATATTTATTACAGCCACAAGATGTTCATACCACCAGGAATAAAAGGGCTACTATTTATACCAACAGAAAGAAAAGGCAGACTGAAGCACTTAGTGCAGATGATCAGTGTATTCGACAGTTTGGAGCCGGTTCTTATTTTTGTCGCGTAAGTTCAACATTTATTGTTGTTAAAAGAGAGAGAGAGAGATCTTTAACGTCCACTTGACACAAACTAAGTCATTTCGGGAATAACATATGGTTCAATTTAATTTCAATAATTCGCTTACGAGTGTGGATCTTTAGGAGTGGGGGGGGGCGGATGACCAGGAGAAAACCCACGAGGTTGGACAGGCGACCCTACACCATGTCAAGTACAACCGGGGAATCGAATTTATATATATAAAAAAAAACTAAAAGATTAAAAATATCACAGACAAAACTAATACATTTATTGTAAATTCCAGGAACTATTTAAAATACATCAATTACATTTTCATCACTATGTTTAAATGTGCACGGAATGAAAAATTTGAAAACAATATCAGCCCTAGGATAATGATTTTGTGATTCTGAAGTACTTTGCTTAAAAATAGCTTGACATAAACATACAATATCTAGGCCTACTAGGCCTACATGGCCACCTTAATCACTGGGTGATCATGACTCCCGATTTAGTTTCAACATTGATTTGGGCATACATGGATTGATTAAACGTACATTATGCAAGAGCTAAATCTGTCTATTGCAGGTCTTTCTTTAGGCCTGAAATGTTATCTAAATTATTAATTAGACATTAATTAACTTATCCGGGCCATAATCAACTCTCGATGTCATTGCTAGCTTGCGATATTTACTGGAGTTGAATCCGATCTGTTGCTCAACGCTCTTTGATGTTTAAATCCAAAAATGGATAATGGAGACTATGTTTTTTTAACGTACCGACTTTAGTAATAATGATCGAGGCTAGGCCTAAAATTCAAAAGCTAACATCTCAGTTCAGGGTGGATTAATTTCACTGAAATTTTCAGCTAATTCCCTTTACATTATCTAGTTTTTAACTCTTATAATGAGAACTTTTAGCCTTTTACCTAATCTCCCACAATGCCCCTTTATTGTATATATTACATCTTCAGGACTTCTTTAGTAATATAGTTTCATTGATTTTACATTCAGGCGACGTATGATCAACCTTTAACAGATTATTCAGTAATGTGCAGAACAGGGCTTTGTTCTAATAATGCTGCTTTTCCCGCGTGTGTCAACGTGACGTTCGACGAAATGACTACATGTGGCAATCAGAAGGTAATGTGCAATTCAGCTAAACGGGCGGAGGGTGGGGGGAATCCGGTGTCAGACAGGGGACTCTACTCTATTTTAACCGCACGTGTTGAGTTTACGCCACTCGATGGCAAATGGCTAAAACTATTTGTTAACGAGGTTAGGACACGTGATTGTTGGCAAGATGGTAGGTTAGGGTATGCAATGGGGTTAGGTCCAGGGTTAGGTTGGGATTAGCGCTAGCCCAGTTTATATCTCATGACCTATGACGAAAGATTGAGCTGGCCTTATCGTTTAGCACTAACCGCAATACAGCTAAACGGGCGGGGGTGGGGGGAGCCAATGTCAGGCAGGAACCTACTCTATTTTAAACACACGTGTCGAAGCTACGCCACGATGGCAAATCTTATTAACTAAATAGCAAACGTCCTTGAATATTTTTCTTGTTTTATTCATTAAGTCATTAAGCATGAAGACGCCTTGGTACACGAGCCTAAACGGTAAGATGACCTGGTACACGAGACTAAAAGGTAACACGTCCTGATACACGAGACTAAAAGGTAACACGACCTGATACACCAGACTAGAAAGTTACACAACCTAGTAGACGATAGGATGGCGTTGTCTTTAATTGATTCTGATCCATTCCGTTGATGTCTTTAGAAACCGTAACCCAATCCAATGAAAGACATTAATTCGTTTCTGTTCATTTTTAAAATCATTAAATGTTATTAATATTTCAGTGGTGTATCGCGGGTCAGTGTGTTTTTGACGAAGATGCCCCTGTGACATCGTCAGGTATGTAGTGTGTGTGTGTGAGAGAGACAAATTGGGTTTAGTGTCCACTCGACACAAACTAGGTTATTTCGGGACTAAGATGTTTCATTGTCTTTACCGATTGGAGGAAACCGGACGACCAGGAGAAAATCCCAGAGGTTGGACAGGCGACCCTACTCCTTTTCACGTTCATCCGGAGAATCGAAACCACGTCAGTTGACTCAATGACAGACCTTGTGATTTCACACGCCCGCGTTAAACCACTAGACCAGTGCCTGTTTCTGTATAACTTAATCTACATTAATATTACCTTGGTGTAGTCTTTCTCATGCTTCGTGCAATATTACAGAGGAGCCACGGTGATTCAATGAGTAAGACGTTGGCTCGCTCACCTAGAGGTCCCATGTTCTATCCCTGCTTTCGTCGAGAATATACATTGGGAATTACCGGCGTGGCCCCTACCCCTACACCCCCAGCCCCTTGTCAGTCGTAAAGTCATTCGGATGAGTTGACAAACCAAGGTCCCATGTATACATTGACACGCACGTAAAAGATCCCTTGACAGTTGGAATTTGATATACGAGTAGGCAGTAGTGCCGCTGTCAGTGCAACGTATCCCTCATAGCACTTGACAGGGTGTATGCCCGCCTTCATTAGCCCAGTCGGAGCAGTACAATAGGCCGTTAAACCCCATTTCATTTTATTTTACAGATCTGTGCCCCCAGGGTGATTCACCAACTGTAACATGCACTATTTATACACCTGAACAGTGTGAGGGATTTAGAGTTAATGGGATACAAGCGGTACTTCTACGATGCTGTGATCACTGTAAAGAAGAAACTGCCACTACAACCACCACTACAACCCCTACAACTCCAACCACCACTACATCCACTACGACTCCAACCACCACTACATCCACTACAACTCCAACCACCACTACATCCACTACGACTCCAACCACCACTACATCCACTACAACTCCAACCACCACTACATCCACTACAACTCCAACCACCACCACATCCACTACAACTCCAACCACCAATACATCCACTACGACTCCAACCACCACAACTACAACTCCAACCACCACCACATCCACTACGACTTCAACAAGGACAACAACGCAAAAATGTAATTTATTCCGCTACCTAAAGGGTAAATGCTCTAACATTTCAACGAATCAATTGAACTGTTTACGACGTTTTTGTAGGTCTTGTCGTAAATGTCGTTATTTGTATAACAGAAAGTGTCGCTCTTGCATGAAGAGAAATAAACGCAAACTCTGCCAACTTCTCTGGAAGTTTGAGAAGCAGTAAACGAGGATTTTTCATATAATATAAGCTTATTATTTTAAGGCTACCAAAATAGTTATCAAAAATATAAATTGAAAAAACCCCCAAAAAACAAAATAAACAACGTAAGATTTAGATAAAGAGCTGTCAGTTTTCGCTATAATAGGCAAATAGAGAATCTCCTACGAGTCTTTTTAAATTTTGATACAAAAAAAAAAAAATATCAACACACGTCGATAAAGTAAAGAAAAACAAAAAAAACGAGGCTCTGATTTTATTTATCACCCAGTCTTTTCTTACGTGAACAGGGGGGGGGGGGGGTGGATGGCTGAATGGTTAGCACGTGCGCGCTGTATCATAAAGTCTGTCATTGAGTCAGCTGGCGGGGTTTCGATTCCCCAGTTGTACGTGACAAGGAGTAGGGTCGCCTGGCCAACCTCGTGGGTTTTCTCCGGGTCCTCGGGTTTCCTCCCACTGCTTAAGACCCCTTATGCGCGAGCGAATTATGGAAATAAAATTGAACCATATGTCAGTTCCGAAATGACCTAGTATGTGTCGAATGGACGTTAAACCCCATTTCTCTCTCTCTCTTTCTCTTACATGAACAAATAGATAAATATAATTCTTTGCTATAGATTTCACTTTTACTGAACCTGATTACATTACAGCATAGTGATACATCATTTTTTTGACAGAAATTCAACCATTGCAAAGTCCTTTATATTGACCAAGTGTTTCCATTAAAGTCAATTAAATAAAAATAGTTCATTATTAATAAAAAAAAAAGAAGTTACTTTTATTGAAAAATGAACTGTTCTTTGAAAATAAAAAAAAGTAGTTCCTTTTTGATTGACCAATCAAATACATGTAAAGCGATATCTACTGTAGAAGGTATTATTGATTGATAAGTATTTTTATTTTATTTAAAGTTGCAATTTCATATTTTTACGTTACATTTTTAAAATTTATTAAAATAAAGCCATAAAATAGATGGTATCTATAAACAGTCCTACTTTGTTAAAGAATAATCCTATTAATCCTATATATCACTATTGCCAGTTGAGAAATTGGCAAAAATATCATTTTCCTCTTCAAATTCAAACGTTTGAAAAAAGCTACTCCATGGTGGAGAATAGAAAACAAGGGAGGTAATTTGGAGGTAATTGTGTTATTATTTCCGGTGTAAATGAGTTTTAAGTGTGAGAATGACACCTATGATCGTTTAATAGTGAGTTGACAACCTATTGAGCAAAAGACATAGAAATAATTATGTTTTGACTTTCTTAGAAAATATGAAATTGTAACTTTAAAGATACAATATGTAAGATTTAGATAAAGAGCTAACCATTCTTGTTATAATAGCTCCAAATATAGATAATGTAAAATGAAAATATTGAAAATTTCATTTTAATTACTTCATTCTGAGCCAAGGTATCACTGTTTGTAGTTTTGACAGTATGTGTGCACTGTGGTAACCAGGGCACTGGTATATTCGAGATTTAGCCTCGCTTTTCAATTATTAAACTTTTAAATGGCGAACCGTTCTAATCTAGTTAAAATCTCGAGTATCCGATGCCATCAAGAGTTTTGTTAATTAATGTCTAATTAATAATTAATATAACATTTAAGGCCCAAAGAAGGACTTGCAATAGGCATATTTAACTCTTGTAAAATGCATGTTTAAGTGATTTAAAAATAAAAATTGAAAATAAATTCTATAGTGACTTAAAGGGCAGTAACATGTTTATACTAACAATTCTTTAACGACGCAATATTTCAGATTTAGATAAAGAGCTGACAGTTCTTGCTATAATAGTTAAATATAAATAAATTCTATTCTAACAAATTCTTTAAAGACGCGAGACGCAGTTTTCGCTATAATAGTTAAATATGAATAAATGAAAGGGGAATATCTTAAAAATTTCAGTCAAATTACTTCATATTGAGCGGCGTTATGGCCGTTTGAAGAACAGTGTAGTCTACCCTTATTACGATAATAAATAAAATCTCGATTATCAGTTTTTCAATTTAGTTATTATCTGGCTATCGTGTTTAAAGGGACAATAACACTCTGGCTGGCTTGACAGCTCCAGAAAATAGAAAAATAGCCTTATTCTAAGTACTAGATGTGTTAGTGTCCTACCTGTTGTGTATCCATTAAATCCTATATTCGCCTGGTGTGTCCGCTTCGCCGAAGCATTCGGCCGAATATAGAATTCATTAGCCAATCACCACTCATATCGAGAAGTCACGTGATAGATTGAAGACATAGACGCCGCCATGTTTAATCATGTGACGTGAAAGGTGATGCAATCGACAGGTTGAATCGGGCGAAGCATTGGGCTAGTGTGTCCACCCATTCGGCCGAATAAAATTCGGCGCCGATTGATTCGGCCGATCGATTCGGCCGAACGATTCGGCTAATGTGTCCAGTGCATTACAACAAGAGTGGTATTGAGCCTTTAAATAAGTTGATAGGGGTTTCTCAGTGTCCTCCGGTTCCGTCGGTTCCTCCCACAACTAAAGACCCCCTCGCGCAAGGTCTGCCATTGAGTCAAGTGGCGTGGTTTCGAATTCTCGCTTGAATGTGACAAGAAGTAGGGTCGCCTGTCCATCGTCGTGGGTTTTCTCCGGGTCCTCCGGTTTCCTCTCACAACTAAAGACCCCTTCGTGCAAGCGAATTATTGAAATATATTAGTACTGAAATAACCTGGTTTGTGTCGAGTGGACGTCAACCACCCCCTCACCCTCTCACCATGGTGTAGGAAAGGGCCTGGTGGCAAGTGGCAACGTTTGGGTGGTACACTAAAACCGATGTCCCGTGTACACATTGACGTGCACGTAAAAGATCCCTTGGCAGTTGGAATTCGATATAAGAGTAGGTCGTAGTGCCGCTGCCCGGGTAACACTTCCCTCATAGCACACTGTATGGCGTATGCCCGTCTTCATTAGCCCAGTTTAGGAGCAGAACACTAGGACCTTAAACCCCATTTCATTTCTGTTGGAATATGGCACTGGGATCATGGGTTTGAGCCAGGTTGTGGCCGTGAAATATTTCCGGATGGGGACAAACCAAGACCCCTTTACACCATTGACTATACGTTAAAGATAGCTAGGACGGTGATTGTGGTGTCTGTATATGGCCACAGATCACCAATGATTTCCCCATTGACTTTAATCTTAATTCTCGTCCGTTGATCCATGACCGGCTCTAACTTTTTCCCAAATTTTCGTTGGGTAGCACGATTTCTACCACAGATGGAGCAGCATATCGCAACATCTTGCCCAAAAGCACGTATGAGGTTCAGCCCTACATTTCAACCTAACCAACTTCTTAAATCCCGTATCCTTCCGCCTCAAAATCATGAATATTCACCAAAACCTGACAAAAAATGTATAATCAAACCCATTTCTTCGATTCTTCACTAAAAAGATCCCCATGCAAAAGGAGGAAAAGGGCGAAGCGAGAGAGAATTGAAATGAAATGGGGTTTAACATCCTACTGAAGAGAGAGAGAGATCTTGGCCCTTGTTTCATGACGGCATAAAAATAATTGGTGAGCTGTGTCCATATACATTGGTATTCAACATGGCTATCATTAGGTCAAGATTCTGACGAAAATAACGAAATGTTTGAAAATAACGAAATTTGTAACCCGTTGAAAAATACTATTTTGAGACTTATTAGCTTTATGATTACATACTACAGTCATCTACCGGTTGTAAAGGTAATCATATTAATTGATACAGTTCTCTTATTGCTTTCCGGGGTCCCACGGTGGCTAAGACGCTGGCTCGCTAGCCTGGGGGTCGGGTGTTCGATCCCTGCATTGGCCGAGAAAGTTCACCCAGATTTTTCTATGTGGTGGCCTGGCAAGGACAGCTGTTTAGTCGTTCGGATAGGACGAAAAACCGAGGTCCCGTGTACACATTGGCCTGTACGTAAAAGATCCCTTGACAGTTGGAATTCGATATTCATTTCATTATTGCTTTCCTACGATACCGGAGAACCGGAGAAAATAGGCTAATGAAGACGGACATACGCCATACAGTGTGCTATGAGGGCAATTTTGCCCGGGCAGCGGCGCTACGGCCTACTCTTATATCGAATTCCAACTGCCAAGGGATCTTTTACGCACACGCCAATGTGTACACGGGACCTCGGCTTTTTGTCCCATCCGAACGACTAGACAGCTGTCCTTGTCAGCCCCTCCGTCCTGCATCACTGACAATGGGAGAACCACGCCGGAAAATCTGGATGAACTTTCTCGGCCAATGCAGGGGTCGAACACCCGACCTCCAGGCTAGCGAGCCAGCGTCTTACCCACTTAGCCACGTGATCCCCCGACCCGGAGGAAACGAAAACCCACAAAGTTGGACAGGCGAGACTACTCCTTGTCACGTGCAACTGGGGAATCGAAACCACGCCAGTTGACTCAATGACAGGCCTTATGATACAGCGTGCGCGTACTAACCATTCGGCCCCCACTCCCCCAGAAGCAGAATCCCAATAAAAAGCTATTATTTTATAACGTGAATGAGTATTTTATTTGAAGTGTCAATTTGAATTGTCAATGACGTTGATCAAAGGTCATAGGTCACATGACAATAGATATAGTCACTCCTGTAGTTAATGGGTCACCTGTTTATCGTCGGGGTTTTCTCTGGGTCCTCCGGTTTCATCAAACTGCTAAAGACCCCCTAAGCAGAAACGAAATAATGGACAAAAATTGAAATGTATGTTAGTCCCGAAATGACCTACTTTGTGTCGAGTGGAAGTTAAACTCCATTTCCCTATCGGTATTAGATTTTATATTCGATTGCTTCCTGATGAGTGGAACAACATCCAAAAGGCGGCTCCGCGAGAAATAGAATGAAATGAAATGGGGTTTAACTGCGATAAGAAATGAAAGTTTTACAGAGAACGCTTGATCGGAGACGGTCCTGCAAATTTTAGCACATTTGACGTCATATTGTGGGTTAGGGTTAGGGTTAGGACTTGCAAATTTCGTCAAAGTCTCGAGATGTAATTAGGGATAGCGCTAACCCCTAACCCTAACCCTGGAAGCTTAACCCTTACCCGACCCCAGGCCGGCGGAATCAATTCTTGATGGGAGGGGATCAATTCTTGACGGGAGGGGGGGGGGGGCTCCCGGGGGTCTTTCTAAACGATTTCTGGCTTGTAGAATTAGTCTGCAATAAAGGATTTTTTATGTTTTTTTTTTATTCCCTTACCACGAATGCACTGCAGTCGATGGCGATTTACTGTGATGTTGAACTGAATAAATATATACATAATATTACCAAGGTTGTGGACATTCTAGATGTCACGGTTTTTATCCGATTTTGATGAAACTTACAATGTATGTTTATTACCGTAACTTCTTGGATTGTGGCACTTTTTGTACGGAAACTTACATTTTTAGCTTGTGGGCACCCTAGAGGTCACAATTCTTAACTCCGCCAGGCCTGCCCTAGCCCTCAATCCACATATGACATGTGCATGACTCTCTCCGATATAGGGTTCTCCAAGTTTTACTTATAAGATGACACACTGATCCGCAGTGAATATTTGCTTGGCCGCGACAATCACTGATAAGGATGACATTGATGCGGCTTAATGAGCTAGAAATATTAACTTTTTTCCTGCGACAAATTAAATTCTAAAACATTTTTTGTATATATTGGAAAAATAAATAAAGGCGTTTGACGTATTTGTAGGTAACAATTATTTCCGATTTAGTGTAAATGGGTATTAAATTGACTAAAATGCAGCATTCTCTCCGAAGCAGTTATGTCTTATGTAAACAATGCACGCGCCATTCAGCCAATGATTCACACCGCGTGCTGTGACAGCACGTGTTAAGGCAGTCATCTATGACAGAGATATTATACGAGACTCGTAATTCTCTGTGAACCAGATTGATAAGATGAGAGTCATTAATATTAATTGAATCCCAATTCCCACGGTCATTGAACATCCATCTGAAAGCTCACCCGCCCCGCCCCCACCAACCTCACCGGCCACCACGAATAATAAAACAGTTTTCCAAAAGCACACTTCATATGTTCATATGCTATAGATGCCAGACAGTATTTTAACGTGGGGTGGGGGGTGGGGGATAATTAGCGCGTGCGCGCTGCATCATAAGGACTGTCATTGAGTCAACTGTGGCGTGGTTTTGAGGACCCGGAGAAAACCCACGAGGTTGGACAAGCGACCCTACTCCTTGTCACGAACAACCGGGGAATTGAAACTACGCCAGTTTACTCACTGACAGACCTTATGATACAGCGCGCACGTGCTAACAATTCAGTCCCCCCCCCCCTTCCCGTCTTCAAGACCTAAAAGAATTTCAATTAGTGCTACAAAGTGGCCACCAAACCGCCCGGGCTCTTCAAGAACAGAATCGCACACCATCTTCTATCTACCCTTACCGTACCCAGCCTAAGTCCTGGTCCAGTCGCACCAAGGTACCTTTTATGCCGGATGGACGAGAGCTGTGTCTAATTTTAATAGCAAAATCTGTCTCCGTCAGGACTGTAGACCGCAGCTTAACTGTGCCATATCTTATTCGAACCTTCACTCATCTACTTATGGCCACACGCCTACACCCCTACCCGCACTCCAAAATTCTTCCCAACGAACTGCTTAAATCAACAGTGTAAAACAGGAGTTGCCTCCCCTCCATTTTCTCATCAACAGAGAATTACGAAAGTCATCGAATATCTCTGGCATTGTTTACATATGACGTTACTGGTTCAGGCAAAATGGTGCCTTTTACTCATTTTAATACCCATTTACACTAAAATAGGAAATAATTTTTACCTCCAAATACTTCAAACGTCTTTATTTATTTTTTAATACATAAAAAAAAAATGTTTTAGAATTTATTTTGTCGGATGGAAAAAAGTTAATATTTGGGGCTCATTAAGTCCTTATCAGTGATTGTAGAGGCCTAGCGAGTATTCACCGCTGATCGGTGTGCTTCCTACCTTGTGATATGAAAGAGGGAGTT